GAAGAGGAGAAAAAGAAGTAGAAAAAATATTCAAAGACATAACAGCAGAAAACTTCCCAGATTTGATGAAAAACATTAAGCTACATATCCAAAGAGCTCAACAAACTCCAAGTAGACTAAATGTAAAGAAATCCACACCCAGACACATCATACTCAAAATGCTCAATGACAAAGCAAAGAGAAAATATTGAAAGCAGCAAGAGAAAACAACTTACATATAAGGAAAGCCCAACAAAATTAACAGCTGACTTCTCATCAGAAACAATTTTCTTTGATTTTTTCATCTTCCCTTCCCCCAAACTGAGGAAATATGAATAAAGTTCAGAATTGACATTAATAATAATGTATCATCACCAGTACATTCATTGTAGTAAACATAAGTGTACTAATGAGGCTAGAAGGCTGTGAGATCATATATTCTAAGTGCTGAGAGAAAAAAAGAAAAAAAACCCATGTCACCCAAGAATCTTTTATCTAGCAAAATGATCCTTCAGAAATGAAAGCAAGCAATGAGCACATTCAGATCTTGATTTCTAATGCTATTCAAAACCAAAAGGAACCAGGACTCCTTAGAGAAATGGCTGATTCTGGGACTGGGGCAGGAAATATCCAAGATGAGCCTGGAGCATCTTCTAGTGCCAGAAAGGAAGTGCTCAAAATATTAAAAAAAAAAAAAAAAAAAAAAGACAACCCGCAAATGGATATATCAAAGGGACATAAAAGTCAACTGAAAGAGCTCCCAAAGGCCAACCTGGAAAAATTTGAGCAACAATAATGTAACATTAGATTATAATCCAACATATACAATAAACATTCAGGAGTTAAAAATACCTGACCAGAAATCCTCAAAACTGTCAAGATCATCAACAACAAGGAAATTGTGAGAAACTGTCACAGCCCAGAAGAGCTTAAGAAGACATGAGATTAAATGTAATGTGATATCCTGGATGGAATCCTGGAACAGTTAGAGGACATTAGGCAAAATATAAGGAAATATGAATAAAGTATGGACTTTAGTTAATAATAATGTATCAATATTGGTTCATTAATTGTACTACATGTATTGTACTAGTGTAAGACATTAAAATAGGAGAAACTTGGTATGGAGTACATGGGAATTCTTTGTACTATCTTCAAAATTTTCCTGTAAATCTAAAACTTCTAAAATAAAAATTTATTTTAAAAAAATGAAAGAGAGATAAAGACATTCCCAGGTGAACAAAAATCTAAAGAATTCACTGCTACAGACCCATCTTACAAGAAATGCTAAGTGAAGTTCCTCAGGCTGAAAACACGTGACACCAGACACCAGTAACTTGGAATCCACATTAAAAAAAATTAGCGCAAATAAAGGTAATTACATTGGTAATTATAAAAAATGGTATAACTGCATATTTCTTCTCTTAACTTATTTAAAAATTAAGTGCACAAAACAATACATATATAATTTCATTTTTGGACCTATTACATAAAAATGTAATATATTTGACAATAATAGTACAAAGGAGGCAGGTTGAAGCAAAGCTGTACTTGAGTAAGAAGGTAATACCAGATGGTAACTCATATCCACAGGAAGAAATGAAGAGAACAACAGATGGTAAATAAGAAGGTTCATATAACAAACTCTATGAACATACTTCATCTCCTTTCTTCTTTCAGCTTTTGGATCCCTTCCTCACACCATTTAAAAAATTAACTTAAAATGGATCATAAATCTAAATGTAAGAACTAAATCTACAAAACTCTTAAAAGAAAACATAGGAGCAAATCTTTATAATATTGGGTTAGGCAATGGTTTCTTAGAGTTGACACCAAAAGCACAAGTGCAAAAAAAAAAAAAAAATAGATAAACTAGACTTCATTAATATTAAAAACTTTTGTGCTGCAAACAATACCATCAAAAAAGCAAACCCACAGAATAGCAGAAAATATTTGCAAATCATATATCTGATAAGAGATTTGAATCCAGAATATATAAAGAATTCTTACAACTCAATGACCAAAAGATAAATAACCTAATTAAAACCTGAGGAAAGGACTTGAGTAGACATTTCCCAAAAAAGATAGACAAGTAGCCATAAGCACATGAAACTATGCTCAACATCATTAAGGAGATTCAAATAAAAACCATAAGAAAAGAATTCATACCAACTAGGATGGCCATTTTATAGAATACAAAACTGAAAATAACAGGTGTTGGCAAAAATGTACAGAAATTGGAATGCTCATGTTGTTGGAAGGAATGCAAAATGGCACAGACACTTTGAAAGCCAGTATGGCAGTTTCTCTAAATGTTAAACACAGAGTTACCATATATAACCAACGTTTCCACTTTTAGGTATATGTCTAAGAAAAAAGAAAACACACATCCACACAAAAACTTGTACTAGAATGTATATATCAGCATTATTCATAAAAGCCAAAAAGTGAAAACCCAAATGTCCAACTACTGATGAATGTATAAACAAAATGTGGTCTATCCATACAATGGAATATTATTCAGCCATAAAAAGAAATGAAGCACTGACCTGTGCTACAATATGAACCCTGAAAATATTATTCCAAGTTAAAGAAGTCAGTCATGAAAGACCACATATTGTATGATTCCTATCATGTGAAATGTACAGAATAGGCAAAGCCACAGAGACAGAAAGTAAGTTAGTGCTTGCCTGGGGCTGGAGGGTGGGAGTGAGATGAGGTAGGGAATGGAGAAGGATTTTGTAATCAGTGACTTTTCAGTTAAAATTTATTTCTTGTTTAAATTGCTCATTCTTTAAGTAAATTTCTTTTCTTTTCTTTTCTTTCTTTTGTTTTTTTGTTTTGTTTTGTGTGTTTGTGGCTGGCCAGTACAGGGATCTGAACTCTTGACCTTCCATAAATTTCCATAACTAACCTCTCACTCTATTTCTTCCTACCTGCCTTTTAAGATAATGCTTCTGGCACAGAAGTCATGAGTTGTTTGCCTAAGGTGCTTTGCAGGACTGCTGGGGCTAGCTCGACCTACCACAAACTGAGCTAAACTGGTTGAGACTGCAAACCTCTCTACAAAGCCTGCACAAATATCCGATGGGAGACCTTTTGATATTAAAGGGCTGAAAACTCCACCTCCAGATCATGCTAATGCTGCCAACTTTAACATGCAACCCATGATGAGGCATGCAGACAGCTTGTACCTGCATAGATCATTGAATAACTTCCTCAAACCCTTTAATCAATCATGATCCCCATACCTTGCACCACCCCTAACCACTTTCTCATAAATATCCCTTCTTTCCTTCTGTCAGTAAGTTGGATTCGAGATTTTTTTCCCCTGTCTTCTCACTTGGCTGCCTTGTGAATAAATCTTTTTTCTCTGCTGCAAAGACCAGTGTCAGTATTTGCTTGCTGTGTAACACATAATTGGTCCTGTTTGGTTACAAATTCTAATAGGTGCAGAGTTTCTTTCAGAGATAATGAAAATGTTTTAAAATTATTCTGCTGATGGTTATACAACTCTGTGAATATACTATAAACAATTGAACTGTGCACTTCAAATGGGTAAATTATATAGTATGTGAATTATATCCCAATAAACCTGTTGAAAAAAGTTAACAAGAAAATTAAAATACACTAAGCAGTGAATATGAGACTTTTGAAAAGCAATTTTAAGTTTTACTTGTAATCTAATAACTATCAACCCAAGGGAAAAATAAATTATTACCACAGAAATTCTGCCTGGAGAAAGGGCATAGGCTTTTGTTTTAATGTTGTCACCTGCCACTCTGTACTATTTTTTTTTTTTTTTTTTGTGGAAGGTGTTGGTTCTCCATCAAGGATATGATGTGGATGCCAGAATGAAACTGAGTCACATGTAGCAATCCTGTGGCTTTTGGCCATTTGTGGGCAGGTTTGGGGCTGCACATAGTGATGGGGACACTTCAAGCTCATTCAAGACTTTTTTTTTTTTTTTTTTTTTTTTTTTGTGGAAGGTGTTGGTTCTCCATCAAGGATATGATGTGGATGCCAGAATGAAACTGAGTCACATGTAGCAATCCTGTGGCTTTTGGCCATTTGTGGGCAGGTTTGGGGCTGCACATAGTGATGGGGACACTTCAAGCTCATTCAAGACAATGATGCTAATAATTGTACTAAAAGCTTTAGAGGTTGACAAAGCATCATTATACATGGTCCTATCAAATCACCACAACAAGGGCTGTGACCTCTTTTTACAGATGTGGAAACAGTCCTGTCTAACTAAAGGGCTTGTTCAAGGCTAGAAACTGGCAGTACCAAACCTGATGCCAGGCCTTTGGACTACAAGTCCAGTGCTCTTTCTCCTCCACCCTCCCAAAAATGTCCTCTGTGAATCACATCCAATGAGCCTTGAAGTTATGGAAATCCAGCTATATGTGCTCAACAAAATAATGAGAGAGAGAAATCGCAATGTAGATGTGTAGGGACCTCAGATGAGTCCATCCACCTCTTCACGCAGTGACCACAGGCCATGGAGTGAGCCCAGGACAGAGGTCATAGGTCTGCGTTCCTTCAACCTGTGCTACAGCTGCTTATGCTGTTAGTTAGCATCCATTGTCCAAGTAAGAGTTACCTGCATAAACAGCCCTCTCACTCTCTCCTTTAAATAAAACGTTATATTTTGTCAGGTATAATTTTTCTCATATGTTACATCACGTTATTTGTTTGTATGGGGTTGTAGATGCAAAAGTTTTAATATTGTGCTTTATGGGTCACTTAAGGAATTTTTGAGTGTTATTTGGACTCTAGGAATTTTGTCTTATGAGCTGACTCTAGAGCCTAAGCCAGCAGTAAAATGCAACACTACTGAACTGTGAGTCTCCAGGTGCCACTTTCTGGCTTGATGGCCCAGAGCTATTTGGATTTTTATGGCCTAGGCTTTTCTAGATAAACAACTAGGGCGGCTTGGATCTTGGGGGACATTTTCTCAAGCCCTTGCAGACAGAAGGAGAGAAATCTCAAATATGGCATGTTTTGTTCTCTCCTACCTCCTCTGCTTGTAGGGTTTCTCTTTCAATTTTTTCAAGTAGCTCATTTCTCACCAAGATCTCCTTGTCCAGATTGATGGATAGTTCCATTGCTCGGTGAAGCTTGCTCTGAAATATAACAACACAGCAAGTCTTGAGCTAAGATGACCTCTCAGGACTGCAGGAAAGGCAGACAGCTCTTTATTAAGCAGGACCATCCAGGAAGTTGGGCCTGCCCCTCTCACAGCTGTCCAAATTTTCAGAATCCTGTGTCTGGGAACTGGCAAGAGAAGAGAGGACCTCGGGGTCTTGTCCTCAGCTGGACAGACAGAGTGGTTGGACACAGTGGAACCCAACTCCTGCCCGACTACTTACTAAGGGAAACTTTGGGCAACACCCAGAACCTCTCTAAATATGGTCTGGTCATCTTTGAGGATTGTGGAGAAGCTTCAAGGAGATATCCTGGTGGAGAGCTGAGCACAATGCCTGGCACACAGGCAACACTTAACCAATGGGGCCTCACAGTGATGGAGAGGGAGGTGGGTGCTACTGCTATCCCCACATACAGGTGAGGGACCTGACCCTTAGGGAGGTGAAGTAATTTTCCCAGGGTCACACAGACAAGGGGGGTTCAGTGTTGATCCCAGGCAGTGTGACTCCATGCCCATAGGCTCCACCACTGTCCCCATAGCCTAATGGGGCTGAGCCTGCTGGTGTCAGATGATCCTGCAGGAGCTGACTCACAGATTCCTACTGTACCATTTTCCAGTCACCAGCTCCCCCCAGGCCCCTGCTTCTTGGATTGGCCCCCTTTGGATCACCCTCTCCCAGCAGAAATAGTCAGCCAGAGGAGTTGTATACCCTGCTTGGCTGAGGAGTGGGCCAATGGAAGGAGCCAGTAATTTCAGGAGGCTCACTCCACAAATCCTGAGAACCCACCCACCCTGCCCCAGGCACTGGTCAGTGAAACAGCCTAGACACTGCCACCAGGAGGCCAGCTCACAGCCCAGATGGAGATGGGAGGCAGCCAAATAACTGCAAGAAGAAATGTATAACTGCAACTGTGCCAAGCTGTAAGAATGCCAGGACGGTGTTTGGAGAAGCTTTTCTTGCAGAAGGAATGCTGGAAAGGGAGCTGAAAGGTTGAGTCAAGTATGTCCAGGTAAAGAGAGAAAAGAACATTCCAACCTAAGGAAAGAGCCTAGGGGAGGGAGTCTAAAGGAGCTGGGAGAGGGAGTGATAGAAGCACAGGGCCACAGTCAAAGTGCGAGTGGAGGGAGGAGGGTGCGGGGCATTGCCACATGCCTGGGGGACCTCAGGATACCCCAGGGCCATTCTCCTCCCCTGTCCTCTTCTCTCCAGCTTCTTCAAGGCTCATTTCCCACTCCATGTCTGGCACGAAAATTGCTCTGCTGAGGAAAGCAACAGTGAATAAAGGGCCAGACCGGGGGGCTGGCTGTGGGGCAGGGGAGGCGGGCCTAGTTCTCTTTCTGGCTGTCAGCAGGAGGTTGCTCTCACTCCCTCCCAGGTGGCCCCTCTATCTTCAAGCCAACAATGGCGAGCTCCTTGCCAGGCAGATCCCCTTCAACCTCCACACCTCTAACTTCCCCTTCCAGAGAAATTCTGTGCTTTTGAAGGGTTCATGTTCAGGTCCAGCCCTCCAGATTAATCTCCTCATCTTTAGGTCAACTGTGCCATATAATATAGCCTAGTCACATAACAGAGCAGAACCTAACTATAGAACCCGCCATATTTACAGAATACGAATATGGCCAGGGATTACACAGGGTGCATATACCAGGGGGCAGAGTCTTGGCGACACCTTAGGATTCTACCTACCAGAAGGCACAAGATTGCTAGTTTACAGTCAGTCAAAAGTGACTCATCACAGTTGTAGTCACATGCTTGTCTTCTACCAGACTCCGCCAGGCAGGGCTTGAGGGCATAAAGTCAGTGTAAAAGGTATCACCTTCACTCAGGCTCACTCATGCAACTCACAGAAGAGAAGAGACTGTGTCTCTCTTGTGCAGTCTAAATGCTGTACCCTTACCATGTAGCCCCGTGCCTTGCATACTGTGGGTATTGGTACTTTTGGTAACAGAGGAAAGCTATTCTGCATTATTTTAACAAGATTCAATTTGGGTGTCTTATATTTATATCAAAGTGGCCCCTCCTGTCACCCTCCCACCCCCACCAAATGTACACCTGAACTGCTAGCAGTTCACCTGACAATATTGGTTGAGAAACTGATTTGGCCAGGCACTGTCCTTGGTGCTGGGGACACAGTACAGACTAGACGGAGCTCCATCCTGGTGGCAAAACACAAAAACTTGTCTCTGAGAAGTAAAATATGTTGCCTAGATGAAGCATCTCCCCCGGTGAAGCCCTATTCAAACCCAGCTGGGATCTGACTCCACAAAAGCTATTCGGCCTTGGTTTCCCCCAGGAAACCTGAGAATTGAGACAGGCAAGAAGCGAGCTGGCTTCTCCCTCAACCTCCCACTTGGGTCCACCGTAGGACTCCCATGGGGTGTCTCCTCCCAAGCTCCACCTGCTTACCATCACATATAATAGGCAGGCCTAGAGGCACGATGGCCACTGGGACTTAAACTGGAATGGCTCCCATTCCGCCCAGTGTGGCCTGTGTCACTGCTGCTCAGGTACTGCAAGCAATCTGCGCTATGTGTTTAGACCCATCCTAAAGAGCATGGGCCCTGCAACCGTAGCTGCATTTTTATAAACCAGTAGTTCCACTTCCAAAACACCTGGCTTTTCCCCACAGGACCAGGCAGGCCCTTGCTACCTAACTGATTCTGCAAGATAAGATCAAGGTCCAATGTGATCTAACCATACACTGGCCAACTATCCAGGCAACCAGGGCTTGGCTTCATCTTAAAATAACAGTGATCATATAAACTAAATACTGATGAGATAAGCTAAAAGTGGATAGTTTGTTGGATGTTTGTGATACTTGAATTTCAGAACACCAGCACAATATTTTCTACATGCTTTAGGCCAGGGTAGGCAGTTGGGAGGAACACAAGCTGTTAGGCGGGACACACGCTGGACTAGAAGTCCCAGCTCTTTCACTAACTTGTGCTTGAATCTGGCAAACACTCTGCATCTTCGAGCCTCAGTTTTTTTATTTGTAAAAGAAAAATTTTGCACAAACATAAATCTAGTCCAAACACACTCAAATTAACATTTTTAAACAACGTTCTGTGGGTCAAACGAAGTCCACCTGTGAGTTACTTAAGTCCATAGCCACCATTGCCACCTGGGCTCTACGCCAGGGTTGGCAAACTTTCTCTGTAAAGAACCAGATCCTAAGTATTTTAGGCTTTCTAGGCCCAGAGGCAAAATTGTGGATTATATAGTTACATATATTAACAAGAGAAAAAAATCCCTACAAATGATTTATTGATTAAATTCAAAATATAATAATCGAGTATATTATTTTAGAATACAGGTCTACTAATGAGAAGAATGAAATTTCTGGCTGAGAAACCAATTTTGCTTAATTCCAAAGTTAGTATTCTCTAACATCAAATCAGTTGCAAACATTCTTCTATAAAAACCATTCTCAGTTTACAGGCCAGGGAGCAGGATACACTGCATTAGATGGTCACTAGCAGGGTGACCAGATGACCTGGTCTGCTGGTGCCAGGCTTTGTTCAGGTCTGTGATCCCTGCTTAATTATTAATAATGCCTCTTTTCTCTCCCAAAAGGGTTCTGTTTGGAGGATAAATTATTTAGTAGCTTTCTGATTTAGAGCCAAGACTGTTTTCCTTTGCAGGGTTTTAAGAAGGGAAGTGCTTATTACATGCCTAAATTAGACAGGGCCCTAAACATGATTAGTTCTCAAAATTCACTTCACATAAAAATTACCTAGGGAGTTAAAAATAACAACAAAAAACAAGCTGCGTGGCCCTCACTTCCTAACTCAATTAGTCAGGGAGGGACTGGGGCATGGTATATTTTTTAAAAAAGAAAAAGCTCCCTAAGTGGTTCTCATGTGCAGCCATGGATGTGGGAAAATTCAGGGAATTTTAGGACATGTGGCTTTGTTGAGTCAAGAGATATCAGTGATCAGTGGGACAGTGTAGGTCACCTACGGGCTGTGTGAAACTGCAGTGTGCACAGGAACTTCCCTGTGGCTGGAAAGATGGGTTGGGGGACCTGGCATCAGGGCTGGCCTTACTTTGTATGTGTTGAGGACCTGCAGGGTGTTTCCTGATGCCAGCTTTAGCTGGATCAGTTCTTGATTCCTTGCTTCAATTGTCTCTAAAAACTGAGCATTCTCAATCTTCAGCTGCTGAAAGTCGACTTCGTGGAGGGCCTCGCCCAATTCTTCCTTCTATAGCTCAGAAAGAAGAAAAGAAAAGATGGGATGTTCAGTTGTGACTTCTCAGAGTATGGCTCATACCTTGTAACTTGGTGAGACATTGGAGGTCGGTTATCATTCAGTCATTCAACATCATGTACTGGACATCTGCTTGGTACCAGGCATGGTACTGGGCACTGGGACAGAGATCTGAGTAAACACAATGCTCCCTGGCCTTGACGAGCACATACAGGTTCACAGACAGGCTGCAGGTACCGACTCAACAGTGTGGGGCAGCGGGATGGGCAGGGGTGGATGAAAGGCTAGTTCAGGAAAGACTTCCCTCACGTGTTGTGCCTAAACAGGGTGTGGAGGAAAAGCACAAATCAAGCCATCTGAAAGTTGTTTTAACCTGGAAAACCCAGGAAAAGCAGCCCGTAAATTCCACTCCTTTGACCGTATGACATTTCTGCACTGTGGGCGTACTAGCATATTGGTTTCCTTCCCTGACCTGGCTCCACCTCACCTGTCCCGCCAGGTCTGGGCCATCTAACGTGTGGTAGGCAATAGCCCCACTCCCATGCTCCACTCATGCTGTACTACTTCCTGGGATCCATCTTCTTCCCCTTCCCCCAAACCAACAAAACAATTTCCTTATGCCCAAATATGACCCATCCTCCAGCTCCAAAGCACCCAACTTGTTTTCCACACCTGAGGGTAATCTGTCTCTCCTCTGAGCCCCTGGAAGCTTAGCTCCATGGTCCTTGTTACTGTTGCCTCTGTATAGCAGTTACACCTCCTCGCCTATTCTCACCAACACCACTTCCCACTAGAATGTGAGCTTGTTCATATCTGTGTCATCTCTTTGCAGCAACAGCATTTATGTTCATCCATCTATTCCCTGTCTCAAGCTTAAAGCCCCTCTTTGAGGTCCCTGAGTTTGCATGAACCCCCAAGTACCAGGAACTTACAAACTGCAGGTAGCTCCATTGAGGCAATATTCTTTCTTACACTGAACTCAGATCTCCTTTCCTGACACCTGCATCCCTGGCCCTAGCTCTGCCCTCCAGGCCCTCCCAAATGGTGTGTTCTGTTTTCCTGGAGCAGCCCTGAGCACTCTATGTGAACTCTAATTCATCGAATCATTCAAGTGTGGGGCTCACACTGGGACACAACACTCCAGGTCGGGGCTACTCAGAACCGAGTGGAGCAAGGCCACCCCTTTCTTGGTCTGTTTCTCTATCAGTGCAGCCTAGGCCACAGCATTGCCATCAGCTGAGCTGACATTATCAGGTACTCTATAGCTAAGCTATCCTGTACCTGTGCAGATATTTTGGGGAAATATCTGCAAAGTGGAGGATCTTCCATTTGTCCTTAGTCACCTCATGTTGTTAAAGCTGTCCCAGTTGAGGTCTTTCTGGATTCCAGGTCGATCAAGCAATAGTCCCCAACATGTTAATTCTCCTATCCAATTTTGTGTTATTGTCTGTGGCCGCCTCTGATGCACATGCCATCAGTGCCCATATTCAAGTTAATAATAAAAATATTGAGTCAGGAAAGGATATAGCCACATAGCACATTCTAGAGGCCCTGACCCAAGTCTGCCTTATTGCCTTTAATCAGGAGAGGCAGTGTCAGCTGTTCAAAGACTCACCAAAGCACAGCCTAGCTGTGCCACCCAGGCCACATTCCCTGAGAAGGTCAATAAGTATGTCATGAAGGTCTTTTAAATTCTACCCAACTCTGTCTGTAAAAAACCCCTGATATGCCTGCAAAGTAACTATATTATTTTCCTGTTGCTGCTGTAAAAAATCACCACAAACCTAAGAGCTTAAAATAATGCAAATTTATTATCTTATAGTTCTGGAGATTAGACGTCTGAAATGGGATTTGGAGATAAAATCAGGATTCCTTCTGGAGGCTTTAAGGGAGAGTCTGTTTCCTTACCATTTCCAGCTTCTGGAGGCAACCTGCATTCCTTGGTGCATGGCCCCTTCCTCTATCATAACAGCTCATCACTCTGATCTCTGCTTCCATTATTGTATCTTCTCTCACCCTCATGCCTCCCTCTGATAAAGAAGACTACATTGGGCCCACCCAGGTAATCTAATATCAACTCCCTATCTCAAGATCCTTAAATTAATCACATCTGCTATATCCTTTAGCCATGTAAGTTAAGATATTCACAGACTCCAGGGATTAGGACATGGACACCTTGTGGGGGGGTGAGGGGACATTATTCAGCCTACTTCAGTAAACTTAAAAAAGAAAGAACCACCTACCTGCCTCAATTGTGAAAGTATTTTTTTCCTCTGAACTTTGAGAGAAACATTTTTCAAACGTAATTTATCCTTCATATTATCCTAAAAAATAAAAGCATATTTTAATCCATTTATCTTCTCTTTCCCTGTTGGTTTGAAAGTTAGTAGGTCTGGAGCTGCAAAGCAGACCTTGAGGCCTAACATGCAGTCATTTACTTCAGGTCTTTTTACTTCTGTCCAAGCAGGTATTGCTATGGCATTTCACTCATGAATAAGAAACAGAGGAAACTAGGTCTGCTCCATGAAAATTTTATATTGCTTTGAAATTCAAGATTATTTTGTATAGTGCTATTGTAGGAGCCTTTCCTGACAAAATGATGTTATAATTCTTTGGTCTTTTATTCTTGTGGTAGTTTGCATAATTTTTATTATTCTTAACATGTTAGGGTTAGTAACCCCACCTGTCTCCAGTATCCAAAGCTTCACATGCTATAAAATCTTTGGAAATCTCCTCCAAATTCTCCTTCCTTTCTCATGCCAGCCCAAGGTGTATCTCTCTGTAATAAGGGAACTCAAAGAGCTTGAGATTTACTTGGCCCACTCCACATAGTCACCTGACTAGACAGGCTGAACCAGCCCAGCCTCACACCTTTCTCAAGAAAAGACATCAAATCTTGAAACAAATAACAACAAAAAGAGGAAGTCAATCTGAGATACTATTAATATGCATCCTGCCTGATTGATGTTAGCCTTGGTAAATGTGCATTTTATTTTATTATTTTTTTAATGTGCATTTTAAAACACACATATATACATACTTCTGGGAATGCAAAAAATCTGCATATGTGTGCAACATTTATGGTGGATGAGACGGAGTTAGGCTGCCTCACGTGGATAATTCCTGAGTCATTGCTGTATGAATCTATTCTCCCTTTCAAGCTCTAATGGCCTGCCAACTCACCCTCCGGCGGTTCATGTCCTCGATGTACTTCATCACTTTCTGAGTGGCCAAAATACTCCCTTTCTTCTTGGATATGGTTTTTAGAATATCTTTTTCAAACTCGTACACTGCTCTCTGAACTTCAGTCCATCGTATTTCTGCTTCCTCAATAATAGCCTGGGTGAGTCAGCACAAAGAAGAGAGTTTCCAAAAATCCTCAAGGATATACCCTTTAAGGAAATCTATGAATAAATGCCTCTTTATGTCCCAATATATAATATATATACATAATAAAAGAAATATAATATATTTCTTTTTAGTATTAGAAAGATATCCTTAGTATATAAACTTGACTATATAAAAGTTATTGTTATTAAAAAGTACTCCTACCAGAAGGCAGGAGCATAGCCAGGGTCCTAGACAGAAGCCTTGGGCAGACTCCACCACTGGAAGAAGGTAAGAACATGACTAGGGTCCTAGGCAGGAGCAGTGTGCAGCCTCCACCACCCAGTAGAAGGTAGGAGCATGTCCAGGTCCTGGGCAGGAGCTACGAGTAGCACACCCCGCCCAGTAGAAGGCAGGAGGATGCTGAAAACACCACTTTTGTGAAGGTGGTCCCCCACAGCTACCATCACAGTCATGGCAAGCATAGCTCACCACCACAGTAAGAACTGCAGCCACAGTGCAGGCAGCCCACCACCCACCTGACTGCATTGACACAAGGAGAGTCACCAGCAGAGACTAGGAAAAGGAGAGGAAGTCTGTCTCCCCAAAGCCAACTCCAGAGTAGTAAAAGAGGCAACTACTCTACCGGATGACCAGACATCAATGTAGAGATACTAGAAATATGAAAAATCATAAAATTATGACACCAACAAAGGAATACAGTAATTTTTAAGTACCAGACCCTATAGAACAAGAAACACATGAAATGACTGAAAATGAATTCTGAGCTTAATGAAACTCAATGAGATATGACAAGACTCAGTTAGAAAACATAATGAAAGGAGTTCCGGTCAAGATGGTG